AAAGCTTTGTATGGTCTAAAACAGGCTCCAAGAGCTTGGTATGAAAGACTAAGTGGGTTTTTGATTGAATATGGTTTCAAAAGGGGTGTTGTGGACACCACACTTTTTACTAAGCAAGTGTTGAATGACCTTCTTATTGTGCAAATATATGTTGATGATATTATTTTTGGTGCTACTAATGAGTATCTATGCAAGGATTTTTCTACCACTATGCAAAATGAATTTGAAATGAGTATGATGGGAGAATTAAATTTCTTCCTTGGACTTCAAATACATCAAGCTCTTGAGGAAATTTTTATAAATCAAGCAAAATATACCAAGAATTTGCTGAAATGGTTTGGCATGGAGGACTCAAAACAAGTTGGAACTCCTATGTGCACTTCTACAAAGCTTGACAAAGATGAAGAAGGTAATCATGTGGATGAAAAGCATTATAGAGGTATGATCGGAAGCCTACTCTATTTAACCGCAAGTAGACCTGATATTATGTTTGATGTTTGCTTGTGTGCTAGATTTCAATCTTGTCCAAAAGAATCACATTTGAATGCTGTGAAAAGAATTTTTAGGTATTTGAAAGGTACATTAGACTATGGTCTTTGGTATGCTAGATCTAATGAGTTTGCACTATATGGTTATTCGGATGCTGATTTTGGAGGTTGTCGTGTGGATAGAAAGAGTACTAGTGGAACTTGTCATTTTCTTGGAAATTGTTTAGTCTCTAGGTTTAGCAAGAAACAATGTGCAATCTCTTTGTCTACAACCGAAGCGAAATATATTGCCGCTAGTGCATGTTGTGCTCAACTTTTATGGATGAAGCACACTTTGAATGATTTTGGATTGATGTATGACTGCATGCCTGTATTCTGTGATAATACTAGTGCTATAAATTTGACCAAAAATCATATTCATCATTCTAGAACAAAGCACATAGATATAAAGTATCACTTTATTCGTGATCTTGTTCAAAAAGGTGAAATATGTGTAAATTTTGTTTGCTCTAAAGATCAATTTGCTGATATTTTCATAAAAGCTTTGCCATTAGATCAGTTCATTCATCTAAGATAAAAATTAGGAATAATCGAAAAATCATCTTAATTTTTTGGGGTCTTCGGACGTCCGAAAGAAGATGAACGGACGTCCGATGATGTTCTTCAGCCATTTTCCAGATTGCGCCTGTTCGGACGCACAACTTCGTTCGGCCGTCCGACAGTGCAATGGCTCATTTTTTAAAAACAACTTTCTTCCTCATTTGTTTCAGACTTTTCCTATTCTATTTCCTCTCTGACGAAAACCCTCTCATCTCTCACTCTCAAATTCACATCATTCTGAGACTCTCATTTCAAAATTGACTCAACCAAAACAGTTCCTGATCAATTGCGAGTCACTTTTCCTGATCATTTCACAGAATCATCTATCACTTCGCACATCCCCAAATTTTCCTCAAAACCCTATCTTTTCATAACCGCTCTGTCAAATCTTCTACAAGGTTTTTTGTTCCAAAATTTTTGTGCGATTCACTTCCCTACTGCTGTGTGCATCATTTGCATCCTTCATCACACACATTTCACACAATGGTGAATCTAAGGGGAGGAAAAGTTACTGCCGGACGCAAGCATCCACTCAGGGATGAGGATAAGGATCTTCCTACTGTCAAACGGACATCCAAACGCTTCAAAAGAGGAGCTATCAAGGGTCAAATGTCACGGCCTACTCCACAATCCACTTCTCAACCAGAATCTGGACAGGGGACCTCTTCTCAACCGCCTCCTAAATCAGTCCCTCTCCCTCCATTCTTTGATGATGCTGCGAAAGACAAATACGCCTGGATATCCCAGAAGGGTGTCATCCCTCAAAGAACTGTAAACCCTTCTGAATTTCGCTCCATAGGTTTAGATTCCATTCTGAGTCTATTTGCTTTCCAGAAATGGTCACATCTCATTTCCATGCCCAATGTCTACTATCCTGATATGTTGCATCAATTTTTTGCCAACCTTAGGAAAGGAACTGACCAAACTGAGATCATGTCTAGGGTAAATGGGGTAGACATACTCTTTGATTCTGATACTGTGAATTCCATTTTAAATACTACCATTGAACGTTTATGCAAAGATAAGGTTGCTAATTTCTTTTCCTATGAAGAGCTCCCTACTGCTGCAAATCATTTTGATGGGACAAAAATGTTAACCTATTTCAAAAGAAGTTTTTCCTCACCTGCTGATGCTAAGTTGAATGATCTGGCCCCTGTGAATTTAATTGCTTTTACTATCATTTCAAACCTGCTTGTGCCCACTGATGGACACAGAACTGATGCAAACAAAATGGAGTTGTATCTCTTTTATTGTTTTCGAGAAAAAATTCGGATTGACTTTGGTTTTGTCATGTGCAAGTTTTTACTTCGATATGTACTGACTCTCGAAGAAAACTATCCTATGGAAAGTTTCTTCAAAAGATTTTTGAGTTTTACAAAGTTCCAATTCTAGGTGTTTGTCCCAAAGAAGCATCTTCTTATGCCTTTACCAAAGCATATTTTGAAAGAAAAAATCTTGTTTTTAAAGATAATCTGTGGGCATATAAGGGGGCATCATCTAGTGAACAGAGGTCTAAGACTGTACATGATCCTTTTCCCATTTCACTCACTCCTATTCACCCTAGGAGGTCTGCCACTAAAGCATCTTCATCTTCAAGTAATGAAGTAATTGAGCTTCTTCATGAACTCAAACAGCATGTTCTTCTTCTAGAACATGGCCTAATGCTCACCATGTCTTCTGAGCAACAAACTGCCTTTCTTGACAAAAAGAATCTTCTTTTTCCCCCACCTGTGGTTGAGGAAGTCTCACATGACAAAGAACCTCGAACCACTGATCCAGGTTCATCTGTTCCAGATCCGAATCCATCAACTCCTGTGACTCCTCATGGCCCTTCCACATCAGACAAAGGCAAGGCACCAATTGTAGAAGCTGCTGAAGATGATGAAGAAACTGAAGAGGAGGATCTCGACCAATATCAGCTTTCTCGGAGGACACCTGGATCCACTTAGATCATCATTTAGGACATTTGCATTTTGTTTGTCTCTTTTAGGTGTTTGTGGAATTCAACAATGAATATGTTATGTAATGGATATTCTAAGTTTCTTCTGGTGTGTTTTGATGGATGTTCTAAGTACTGTGGTGTAATATAATGGATATTCTTGTTTATGTTTAAGTCCTGTGATGTTTAAGTACTGGTGGTCTAAGTATCTTGATGGAAGTTATTGGTGATGTTTAAGTACTGGTGAAGTTTGTCTATTCTGTTTGTGTGAATGGAATGAATTGTTTTTGGTTTGCATTTGTGGATAAGATGTATTTGTGTATAAGATGGATGTTTTTGGTTTGCCCTTTTGTGATGGCAAAAAGGGGGAGAGATCTGATTGATGATTGATATGTTGGATCTGATTGATGGTTTAATTAAATTTGGATTTTGATGATGGATTGAATTGGTAATATGTTGGTTGTGAGTTGCTTAATTGTCATGTTTTTGGAACTCGGTTGGGCAGCCTAGTGAGGGGGAGGTTTTCAAATTTTTTATGATTCACTAAGAAAGGGGGAGTTCTAGTCTATTTAGAAAGGGGGAGTTTTCATTGCAATCAATCAAAATTCATTTCAAACTTTTGTTTTGTCATCATCAAAAAGGGGGAGAATGTTATTCTTGGTTTTGATGATCACAAAAGTTTGTTTATACAGACCAAGAAAGTGAACACTTTGATCAGGTCTGTTGGAACAAAGAAAGCATATGTTCGTTTATCTCCTGACTACGTTGCTTTGGATGTGGCAAACAAGATTGGAATAATATGAATGAATTTAGTCATTGTTTTGTTTCGATCAAAGATATTGTCTTTTAAGTATGTCTAGTTTGTCATTCTTGGTGCTTTGAAATATTTGTCTAACCTTCTTCAAATACAAGTGTTTTTGTCTATCCAAGAATCAGGTTCAAATATGTCATGAAATGCAAAACAACCAAAATGAGAAGCAAAAACAGGACAAGCAGGTCGGACGGCCGAAAGGAAACTGTCGGACGTCTGAAAAGATAAAGAACATCAGAAAGGAAGCACCGTCGGACGCTCACATGGAAGCATCGGACGTCCGGAAGGATCGGACGCTTGCCATCAGACGCTCATCAACCGCATCGGACGTCCGAAAAATTCCAAGATAACTTGCTAGCTCTCGGCCCATGGTCGGACGCTGTGCTGTCGGACGACAAAAAACTCATCGGACGTCCGAACCTCAACTTGGCTATCATCGGACGATTGGTTCGGACGATGATTCGATCGTCGGACGTCCGACAGCCCCAACGACTAATTGACTCTTCAGCTGCCTTCTATCCGTTGGAAGCATTGATGAAGCCCATTTCTGGTTCCCTTTAAAATCAAACTGGTCAGAACCAAGCAGGGACTTTTGCACACTTTGTTTACAAGATCTCAAGAGATATTTTAGCTAGAAAATAGTCTCCAAAGCTAGATTTGTTTTAAAGTGGTGTGAATTTCTGGTGAGCATTTCTTTTGTGGTTGAAAGGATCTTTAGTGTAGCTTTGTTGAGGGTTTTCTGAGTGATTGTAAAACTTCCTAACTTGACTAAGTGAGGCTTAGGGCAAGGAGGAAGTGCTCCCTCCATTGTACATCTAGTTGATCTTCTTTCATCAAAGAGAAGCTGCTCTTCCTTGTATTTGGTCTTCAAGCTTGAGGTTAGCTTGGTAGACACTTGGTTTGATTCCCTATCTTACTTTTCTGTTTAATAAAATTCTCATTACTTATCTATCCTTGTTTTTCTGATCTATATTGCTCTTGTCTTCTAATCTACTTGGTTGATCATTACTAGAAAAGAAGGTAAATTTTTATTAAAGAAAAAGTGCATTATTTGGTTAAGATTTTAATCAACCCAATTCACCCCCCCTCTTGGTTGTCTTTGGGACTTACAAACAACTAATGTTGGCATCATCCATTTAGAAGTAAATCATACCTCAAATTCTCAAGAGCAAAATTCAGCGGCAACCACCCTTTTACATCCTTAAAATCCAATCTGACATTTGCTTGATCTGTAATACCAAGAAATAACTCAGTCAGTCTACAGGCCTGACTAGTAGCTGCTTTATGCAATGCAGGAAGTTCCCCATGTTGTTGTGTGGAACAGCATCAACAGTAAAATCAATTTTTCCTGTCATTTCTCCATTCAGAACAGCATCCATACAATTTATGGAGTCAAAAAGAAACATACGATCCACACACCATCGAGGTATATCATTTTTGTAGGTTATCCCATTTATCCAAGTAACAAATGTTTCTTTCTTATCATGTGAGACAGCAAAAGTAATTTCATCTTCTAGGGAAGGATAACCATTCTTGATATAGTCTTCCATTTCTTCATCCACATATCCTTCTGGAGGCCGAAAAGTGTGTACCCTCTACTTTAATAGAAAATAATAAGAATCATAGAGAGAGAGAGAACCAACACAGTTACTCTTGGCGTCTAGAGAAAGCACAAACTCAGAGGCAAGGACCATATTTCAACATTCATGATGATTGAAATAGTTGTACAAATAAACAAAACAACACAAGAAATTTCAAGCGAGCAATCTAATTTTCCCAATTTATAAATAAAACCTAAAACTTGGGAGAAGCAACATATCTGGGTGAATCACGTTGAAATATTCATGTGGCCGCAGAAGATCATGCTGTCATGCTATTTCATTCAGATCATCTAAATGTACACACGGATGATCTTAAGTCACTTAATTTACAGAAATTTGAATTTAGATAGCCACTTGACAATACATAAACAAAAACTGTCTAAACTAATCTTGCCTAAGTGTATAGAGACTTCAAGCGTCCTAGACTCTATACGCAGTCTAATCACTTCACCCTGTAGCAAAAAATTGATCAAATTTAGTATTATGACATTAAAAATACCAAAGATGGGAGTCAAGAATATAATTCGACTCTAATCATGATGTAACATGAGAAAGGAAGGAAGAAAGGAAAGAAAATGCAACGAGATAAGTGACTAAAATATAAGATAAGTGATGTAACAAGAGAAAGAAGATGTCTGCTACCAAGCATTAAATGTGATGTAACTTGAGAAAGAAGATGTCTGCTACCAAGAATGAAATGTCTGATACCTTGTATTTTAGTCACTTATCTCGTTGCATTTTCTTTCCTTTCTTTCTTCCTTCCTTCCTTTCTTCCTTTTTCATGTTACATCATTATTAGAAGATGCATGCTGCTAAGCATGTAATGTCTAATATCTTGTAATTTAGTCACTTCTCTCATGTAACATCATTGTTAGAAGATGTGTGCGGCTAGGCATAATGTCTAATACCTTGTATTTTAGTCACTTGTGGAAGGAAGGAAGGAAGAAAGAAAATGCAAAGATACAAGTGACTAAAATACAAGATATTAAATATTACAAGTGACTAAAATACAAGATATTAGATATTACATGCTTAGCAGTACACATCTCCTTTCTTTCTTTAGGACCATGCCGGTGATTAAATATTTGCATTGTATCTCAAGTTCTCAAAAGGATAGATAGATATCACAGAAGTCGTACTGATAAACCAACATGCTGCATAAGATATCATCTAAAAATTAATAAAAAAAAAAATAACTATAATCAACAGCAATTTTGTTAGTATCATGCCTATGTAGTATACAATCGTTACTTAGAAGTGTGAATTGGTACAAAATTGGTACCTCAGTACAATAAAATCGGTGCTATCTGTTATTTGAGCTCCAAATATCTTGTACCTATACCTCTTTTGGAATTCAAAGCTGAAAAAGCGTATAATCGTTTTCACAAAAAATAAAAAATAAAATAAAACGATGTCATCAAATTCAATTTTGTTAGGTCCTGAATCCTTTTTATCACTTATCTTTCTCAATAGTATCATTTTTATTTCTAATTTGTAGCCCAAAATAATACAAAATTTCACATATTAATACTTCTTTCTCCTTAATTTACACACTAAATGTTCTTTTTGTCCTTTAAATAAAATAATGGTAAGCTCAATTCATTATATATATGGATATAGTGTTAACCGGATTCAAATCAAGAAATTCATTTCGAATCCAGCGCACAAACTGAATTATCATCATAGTGGATTCAAATTATCAAATTCATTTCGAACTCAATCGGTCAGTATGCACCAACTATGCTCCCCTTTTTTAATTAATAATAATAATAATAATAATAATTAAATTTACCTCTATTCCAAGAATATTATGGACACCGACGCAGGTCATGTATGCGCCACCATCATTACGACACTCTCTGACTTTTCCTGTCAGTTGGATACGAGCATTCGTTTCACAAAATTTTCACTAATTCGTTTAAATTTTCATAATGGAACTTTTCAGTGTCACTAGTTAAAGTTTAACTTTTACCAATGAGGCACTTTTTTTTGTTTCATTTTACCATCATCCGGCAAATGTTCCAGTTCTGACTTTGTGATGAAATTTAAAATTTTCAGATATTGACCAGCTCTGGCCAGTGAGCTGGTTGAACACAAAAAAGAATCACAAGGAGAGGTCGTTGCGTCTTCTTCCTGTTCCGCCGGAAGCAACAGATAAGCAACTTTATATAAGACAAAAAAAAGTTCTAAGATGATGCGATGCAGCAAGGCAGTTATCATACTCATACATACCCCTTCCATTCTGCCTTATCCAAAATCAGCTCAGCTGCCAGAAAAAATTCCCTGATTTTTTTTTCCTGCTGGAAAAACCACACGGCTGCAGACGTGAGTCCTTTTTTGCCAAAGGTCTCGACTTGTCACCTTTTCAAACTGGCTCTCTTCTCAGGGCATCCTTTTTTTTTGATGCACCGTTCACCCAAAAATTGGATAATATGCATGTATGACAGATTAGGCATGTACGTGAGTCCATGGTTCAAAGACTCGGCTGAGCCCCAGTAGATCCGGCTGAGTCGTCACAGGAGATAGTAGACCGGTGCGAACAGAAGAGCATCCGAGTCAACCCGTACTGACTCATCAGATATCCATGCACGACTCGGAGACTTTTAGTGTATGAACAAATTTTAATATATTGAAAAAAAAAAAAAAAACTTACCCGTATACAATTTATGAGAAATTGCAGACAGAGATAACAAATCAATCTTTAACCCAAAATTCTCTCTTTCATAACTCTTCACTAAATAGCAAGTGGGTGGCAGAGATTCAAGAGAAGGAGAAGGAAAAAGGAAAGGGCGAAGAAGACGAGGAGGCTGACATGCACGGGCGTTTAACATGTAGTACTTGATACCCTACTTCGAAAAATCCCGTCCCTGCTTTATATTTTTTTTCCCAACTTTTGCAGCCCACTTCAAAATATAATACTTTCTCTGTTTCATTGTGATAGTTTTAATTTTTTTTCGCATAATTTAAAAAAAAAGTTAATTTTGTTAAAAAATAAATTTAGATTACTATTTTTCTAAAATACTCTTACATTAAATAAATAAAGTTGGCTTGTCATATATCAATATAATTTGAAAAATCTAAATGCATTAAATAGAATAGGTCATATTTAATACTAACAATCTATATTAAATAAGATAGTTTAAAGTAATAACAATTTACATTAAATAAGGGTATTTTAGAGAAATTAAAAGACAACTACATTCTTCAATTGGAAAGTAAACTACAATTTGAGACAGACGAAAAAGGAAAACAGAACTATCAAAGTGGGACGGGTGGGAGTATTAAAAAAAATCATTTTGAAATATAGAATATAATCTCGTTCTAAATTTACTCTTTCCTTGTGGACTCTTAATTGTCATAATAGATTAATTTTATTTCTTGATTTTAGTAAAGTTGGTCAATATAATTCTTTAATTGAAATTTAAAAGATGATAAAGGAGTCAAAAGATCCTTTAATAGTTTTTCACATCATTAGTTTGGACAAGAAATATTAAGATACTTAAAAATTTTTAAATTACAAATAATTTATAATAGTTGCAAAAATAATTTGAAATATTTTATAATCATGAAACTAACATTTTGTACCAACTTGAAAGCATCACAACAAGTTTATATATAATTTTCAAACCATTGATTTGGACAAAGAACTAAAAAATTCAGAAAAAGAAAACGATTTATAAAAGTCTTTAAATTAACTTAGTACACGTTACAATAAACGAAATAATACTTTTATCACTTGCAAAAACTTCAAATAAATTTTGAAATATTAACTTTTTGTATTTCAAAAGTGCACTATATTTGATCCCATTAGAATCAAACCTTCAAGCTTTTGGATTTTGTGTTTAGATTATTATTAGTATACTCAAGTGTTAAGATTATTATATATGTTAGGAAGTAGTACTATTCTTTTATTTTTCCTTTTTCAATCACCATGTATTTGAAGTTTTAGTCTAATGCCCTTTCCTTCTTTATTTTTATATATTAATAATATGTAGAATTAACGAAAACAAGTTTTTGCACTACAGAATAAGGTAACAAAAAGGTAAATCTAAAATGAGATTATGTTCTCTTTTTCCTAAATGAGTATTTTAATGTTATAGTTTGAAATAGATTTCAAATGTTACAAAAAACCTTAAAATAATGGAGGTAAATAAGATTTTTCAAAATTTGAGGGTGCCAAGTAATACTGTTAGAGACATCAGGTGATGTTTCTAAATTTACGAAAATAAAACTATATGTCTCCAATAAAAATACTAAAATAATTACAAGAAAAATACAATTTAATTTTAGGGTAAAATTTCTTAACTACCCTCAAACAATATAGTTAGTAAACTTTTAAGCTTTAAAACTATTAAGTGCATACTTTTGCCCATTAAACTTATAAAACGGTATAATCTTCAATTCCTCACATTTTTCGCTAGAGATAATTTTAGAAAATTTCCTTGAGGTTTATGATAATATCACTTGGTATACTTGAAGTTTCAGAACAATCACTTGACTCCTATATCAACAAGATGGGACCGTTGATCACTAGCATAGTACACAAATTGACAAAATTTATCTTCATTACTTCAACAAGTTTTAGGCAAACATTATGGAAGAGAAAATTGTTAGGCAAAATATGTAAATCTTATATTATGATCAAGTTGGAAGAAAAATCGATATAAGACAACACAAAAGAGTAGAATTTGAAATCATTATAAGAATGTTTTAATAATACAAGGGTGAGATTATTATAAACGGTATAGGTTTTATGGGAAAAAAACCTCCCATAAAAACTATACCGTTTATGGGAGGTTAATGATATTTTGAAACTTTAAGAATTCTAAGCGATATTACCATACACTTTAGTGGAGGTTTCTAAAATTATCTCTAGCAAACAGGGTGAAAAACATACCCTTTACAAAACAACAGTATATACTTAATAGTTGAAGGTTTAAAAGTTGACTAATTTAAAAGTTTGTGAGTCAACCAGATTTTTTATCCTTAATTTTAACAAGAAAATTTTGTGTCGAAATATTCAAATTTTCACGATATATGCAAGATAGACATATTGCCACATTTGTATCTTACCTTCATTTATTGATGGCATAATTTGTGGAGAAATATTTTAATAATAGCAAAATTCGAAATTACTAGAAGAGAAATATATTGGACATCGCTAGAAATGGGTGACATGAGAAGCTTGGATAAGGAAAATGCATACGGTGCCAAACGTGAGGTGGCTTAGTGCTTTCAACTAGGGGGTTCATATTTTAGAAAAAAATTGGAAAACAGGCCGATTCAATCTAAAGTTGGATTTCTAATTTTGGTAAAATGGAATTGGGGAAAAAATCAAATTTAATATTTAGTAAAACGATTCGGGAACAAATATTAGAAATACATTACTGAATTATCAATTATCGATCAAATTGCAGAATTTTTATTTTACACACACACGTATCACTAAATATAAGAGTAAATGTTAATCTATTACAATATACCAATTAGTAGTTATTAATTGGGGGGAGGGATGGGTTGGGTGGTACGGGGGGAGGGAGTGTAAACAAGAGGTCTCGGGTTCGAGTCCTCCTGCTTACACTAAAAAAAAAATAGTAGTTATTAATTACCTAACTATAGCTATATTTGGAAGTCAAATTTTGATGGAAATTGACATGTTGTAGTTTAGGTTGAAAATTAAATTTAGAGTTCTTATTTATTTCAATGTTGTTTAAAAATTGAAACTATGAGTTAGGATTTAAGATTATGAACTTGCAAATCATGTGCTAAGATGATTGAATTTTGTTAAAAAAAATATGAGATATTATTCTGTTAGAATAATATTTTATAGAAAAATAAAATTATTTTAACTCATTATTGATATTTTGGTTATCAGATATTACTGAATTTATCGATTCTTTGATCTAATTTAGCAAACAAAAGTTTGGACGGTAATTGGATATTGATTTTAAAAAACCAATTCCCAAATTTTTTTTTTACTAGATCGCCAATTACCTGAACACTCTTACCTTCAACCCTTACCATTTTATTGGTGATGGATATACTATTTTTTAATGCACTATTTGTTTTAAAGGTTCATTTGGTTCACAAAATGGATAAGATGAAATGACTCATTATCGGATTATTAATCTTGGGTTGAATCATCTTGGGATTAATACAAGTTATCTAGTGTTTGGTTGTTTTGGATTGGATAGGATACATTAGGAATAATCATATCTTGTGTTTGGTTGGAGATTGAATGAGATATAATTACTATTTCAATGACCAAAATACCCCTTAATTTGTAGGATTGTTTTTATACAATAAATTAATAATTTATAACTTTTATTAAAATAAAATAATTTGAAACTTTAGAATTATAAAGCAAATAAGAGGTTTTGACATATAAAAATTTGCATTCACTAAAACTCAGTCTATTCGAACCCTTAAAAATAGGTTTTAACATGATTTTTTCAATCTAAATTTGAAATTCAATTAAATAATAGGTTGAGTTTTGGCTAAGTTAGGATTAAATTTAATAAAATCCAACTCGCCTAAAAATTTTAAATGAGCCAATCTCAAGTCAGTATAGAAAATTTTTCTTTGGATTAAGGTTAGGCTTATTGAAACCCTCATTTGCAAAACCCAATTGATAAGGGTGTGTATTTATATAGAATTTGGTTGGGAAAATAAATTAGTAAGGGCAATTTAGTCCAAGGGCAATATAGTCCTTTTATTATGATATAAGTAGGGGTAAATTAGCTTAAAAATTTAAATTAATTAATAGGAGTAATTTGTCAAAAATTTAAAATAATGAAAAGGGAAAAAATAGTCAAAAAATTTGATATAATTAGTAGGAGTAAATTAGTCTGTTTATTATTATATTATTATGTGAGAGAATGGTTATATAATATTCAGTATGCATTTGTATTATTCGCAATGACAAATTAGTCCAAATATTATTATGTTGGTAGTAGGGGCAAAATAGTGAAAAAACCTTAAATTAATTAGTAGGGACAAATTAGTCCATTCATGTTATATTACTGTGTGAGGGTAAGGTTATATAATTATGAGAGTATAAATTTATATTATTTGTGAGGGTAAATTAGTTTAAAATTTTATTATCCTATCCCTTAGTTATCCCAAGATGACTAAATAGTTTGTTTGGATATGAGTTTATCTGGATGAGTTATTTGAGATAATTACTGTAGCATTTTTTTATGATATGATGTACGTGAGATAAAAAGGTGATTGGAATTTGTGAGATAAAATTTTTTATTTCAAATTTTCCTAATTTAAACAGTCTGTTTGATAACATAAAAAAGTGCTGAATCTGAACTTTTTCAGACATTCAGATGTTTTGAGTGTTTGATAAATAAAGGGCCTGTTTGGAAGTGAGTTTTTTGGCCAAGTTTTTTAGCTACAAGTTTTTTTAACAACTTTAGCTACAGGAACCCAAAAAAATTTATCAAATTTTTTAATCTACACACTTCAAAATATCTAATACACAAAAAACTTCTATCTTTTTTCTTCTTTCTCCCCCACCCCATCCACCATACCTTCATCGCCGGCCACCACCTCCGTCGCCATTTTCGGCGCGGCCACCTATTCCGGCGCCGGCGTTCCCAAATTTTTTTTTCCTTCCATTCTTCCTCCCTCTCTCCTTCCCTCCTCTCTCCCCCTCCTCTCCCTGGCCAAACTCCCCCGACCTATGCAACAGCAACAGTTACTTTCCTCCTGCATTTTTCTTTCTCCCTCCAATCACACCAATGCTATGGCTGACGGGGGAACGGGGGAAAGAAAGAAGAGGGGTGGTGGGAAACGGGAAGGGAAACAGGGGAAGGGGAAACGGGAGGGGGGTGGCAGGGGCAGAGGGGAGGGGGAAGGGGCAGGGAGGTGGCGGGGGCAGAGGGGAGAGGGAGGGGGAGGGGTGGTGGGGCAACGGGGGAAAGGGCACAGGGGAAGGGGAAGAGGCAGGGCAGAGGGGCTAGCGGGAAAGGGTTGGCGGGGGGAAGGGGTGGAGTACAGAGGGGAGTGGGAAGGGGCGGAGGGGGTGGCGCGGCAGCAGGGGAGGGGTGGTGTGGCAGCGGGGGAAGGGCTGGCCGGGGGGAGGGGATGGCGGGGCAGAGGGACTGGCCGGGGAAGGGGGCTGACGGGGGAAGGGTTGGCGGGGCAGAGGAGATGGCGTGCAGAGGGGAGGGGGAAGGGGCAGAGGGGCTGGGGGGGAAAGGAAGCTGGCGGGGGAAATGCAGAGGAGAAGAGAAGGGGAAAGGGAGGAGAAGGGTGGCGGGAGAGGGAAGGAAGAAGAAAAAGAAGAAAGAGAGGAAAGAAAAGAAAAAGAAAGAGAAAGAAAAAAATGAAAAGAAAAAAAAGAAAAAGAAAGAGAAAGAAAAAAAGAAAGAAAGAAAAAAAGAAAGGAAAAAAAAATTCACCTTACAAAAACTTTTACAAAATTTTTTATCTTACAAAAACTTCTACAAAAAAGTTTTTTATCTTAAACTTCTACAAAAAAGTTTTTCACCTTACAAAAACTTCTACAAATTTTTTTCAAAAACTTCTACAGTGCACTATAGTAAAGTTTTAGACAAACTCCCAAAAAACTTAGGTTCCAAACAGGCACAAAAATCCATTTGCTGAACTTATTAAGTAGTGCTGAACTTTTGTGTATTTTTTTCAGCACAAGAATCCTAACTGAATGTTTAATTTTAAATCAATAGAATTACTTTAACTACCTTATCTTATCTACCAAATCTACTCTTGTTTCTTAATTATATTCAAAATTCTTATATAATTAAATAATCTAATATTCTCTATCTAATGATTTTCTGTTTCTCTTTTCTCCCTTTTGAATGACTTTCACTTATTCTTCATACTCCTTATATAATATAATTCATCTTTTATATTAATTTGATTTAAAAGTAAATATTGTCATTTTCATACCTAACATTTTTAGCTAATTAAATCATAGGTTCTATTTCTTTTTTGGATGAAAAGATATAAGGGCAAAATTGTCAAATTTAACTTATTAAACATTCAGTTATAAATATTTATTAAACAGTATAAATAAGTTTAACATTAAAATTCAGACATTTACAAATTTTTTTTCAGTGTTTAAAATTCAGCAAATTCATTGTTTCAGTATTCAGACTTCAGAATTCAGATTCAGTTTTATCAAACGGAATCTAAGATGACTATCTCCCTCGTGGTATTATTTTATCCCATGAATGGGGGATTAATTCTATTAATTAGAATGTGTCATCTTAAGCGTAAAATGCAATCAAATATGGGATCACACAGGATAATTAATCTAATTATATGTCATCCCTGAATCAAACAGACCCTAAGGGAATGAGAGGGAAAGGAAAGGATAGGAAAGAAAATGGAGTAATAAGATTTTTTGACGTTTATGTTGGTTTTTAAGGAGGGAAAAAAAAGAATTGGAAGAAAAAAATGAGGGGTAAGGTTTCACTATTTTTGGTTAGGTTTCGACAGTGGGTGGGAATGGAGAAAAAGAATATCAAAATTGAAAATTTTAAATTTTCTAAAATTCCTATCATGTGTTTTTGGATAAAAACATGTGTGATAGTTTTCTTTGCTTTCCTCCCATTATGTGTTTTTCAATAAAAAAAAAAATGCACGTTACTTTTCCTTTCCACTAGATCAGCTCCTTTCCGTTCCTTCCCTTCAATTTCAATCGTTGCCTTAATTAAAAACTCCGTGCCCCCTACCCGAAAGGAAAAAAAAAACTTTCTGAATTGCGGCGGAGTGCCTTCCCATCTATGATCTACCACACCAGGACGCCAGAGATTAAAGGTGAGACCTTTGCTCAGTCTCTTTTCGCCTAAAACTCTGAAGGGAAAAAGGTGGAGAAAATCCTGGTTTAATCTCTTATTATTTTCAGGGGCAAAATTATCTAATTGGCCCTTGAACTCTTTGTCTAGATAAAAATAAGTCCCTTATCTATTTTTTTGCTGACTTTAAGCCCTCGAACTTGTAAAATTGGACACTCGTGACTCGCCAGTTTCTCCGGTTTTGCAACCGGAAGACTAATTCACGCGAATGTCAGTGTGCTTCTTCAAAAACTTTTTTGTCTGCATTTTCTAAGAAAAAAAGGAACAATTCCTCTTTCTTCCCTCCATTTCTGCAAAACCCTCGTTGCCGCCGCTTTCTCTCTCCTCATTCTCTGCAGGAGAGTGATACCACCGCTCTTAGGAATCTCCCCACTAGCATAGTCATAGCTATTCCTTCGACTACCCAATTCTCCCCCACTCTGGACATCAGTCCTATCAAAATTAGCCGCTAAAACACTATTCTCGTCCAAACCTCCAAGTGGAAATGCCATTGCAGCCGTTGGTCTCGGCGAGACCGCCATAGTTGTCTCCGGGGGACAATTCCATAGTCAGCACCGCCACAATCATCGCCACTAAAATTTACTACTACAGCTAACTTACTACCAATACTAACACCATCTCCCTAAACATACCTGTAAGTTCCATCCAATCCTATCCAGCCATTGATTCTTAGTGGCAGCTCCATTAATAATATATTTTTTTAACAAAAAGAAGAATTCAAGAGAGAACAAAAAAAGAGGTTGAATCAGTAATCCGGCATGAGTTGACTAATTTTGCCTTCTTCAGCATCCATTTTCTGCTTCAAAATTTTCAACCATACGTAAATAGCTGTAAAGCTTAGCACCAGACTCAACAACCCACTTCCCACTTCCCAATCCGATCCCCACAATGGTCAGAACCGATAGCCTTTTGCTCCTCATCGGCGGCAATGGGTACCCGTACAGATCCTTATTCCCCTCGTAGAAGCTCGCATTAAACCTCAGCAGGTTCCCACTCCTATTTCCTAAGGACGAGGGTATCGGACCCGACAACTTGCTATTCGAAACATCAAAAACCGAGAGGTGGGCCGGCAATCCTAGCTGTTGAGGGATGAGGCTGGAAAGTTGGTTATCATGGAGATCGATCACATTAAGGTAGGCACAGAGAGTGAGCTGTTGAGGGATTGGGCCGGAAAGGCGGTTAGAGGAGAGGTTCAGGACAGCAAGATTGACGAGGTATTGGAGGTCAAGGGAGATAGGGCCGGAGATGGCGTTGGAGGAAAGGCCGAGTGCTTGGAGATTAGTACAGCTGGAGATATTGGGGGAGATGGAGCCTTTTAGGGAGAGTTTGTAAACCCGACTGTTGTTGCAGGTGGAGCCTTGGAGGAAGGAGGTGAAGCCTTGGCAAGACTTACTGAAGGTAGCTTTGCTCCAGTTTTGGAGGTTCTTTAATGGGTCTTGAAGGGATTCACTGAGGCGGGTTAAGCATAACTCATCGTTTGGATCTGGCTCTGATAGCGGGAGTAGGGCGCAGGATCTCCGGATTAAGCATAGTTGTTCGCTTTTGCTTAGAAAATGCAGACAAAAAAGCCCTTTGAAGAAGCACATTGGCATTCTTGTGAATTGGTTTTCCGGTTGCAAAATCGGAGAAACTGGCTAAAAGGGTCACGGGTGTCCAGTTTTACAAGTTCGAGAACTTAAAGTCAACAAAAAATAGATGAGGGACTTATTTTTATTTAGACAAAAAATTCAAGGGCCAATTGGATAATTTGCCCTTATTTTCAGTCTTCTGCCCTTGTTTCTTTGAGGTTTGCTTTCTGATAACATAGAACACCCTGATTTTTCACTTTTTCCTTAGGAGCTTCACAGGAGCTGAGTCTTAAGTCTGAGAGGTCAACATGCTTGATTATGTGGTATTTTCACTCTCTTGCTTTCCTTATTTTCTGTTTTTCTGTCTATTGCTAAATTTCTTTTGAGGAACAGAAAAAATAAAAATGGAGAAATAATATGCTTTCAAGACACTTGAGAAACAAAAAGGAAATTGTTTGTCCAGCCCCACCTTTTGTGTGCTTAAAAAAAAAATGCTGCAATTAGCTTCTGTAGTTTTAGCTGAAAAAGATGTAATTTTTCACGCTTTTGTTTTCTGTTTTTGTGTATGGAAAAAAGAAAGAAAAGAGGATTTGTTTAGGCAAAATTTGTTCGAATTCAATTTTCAGGGCAGTACATTGAATTGGGTGGAAAAAAAGTTACTTTTAATGTTTTTCTTTTCTATTATTTTTCTGGGACAACAGAAGAGAAAATCTATTTAGAACAGAATTTCTCCGGGTTCAATTTCCAGAGCAGCACGTTATGAAAAAAGTCATTCTAAATTGTTCTCCCAAGAAGAGTATACTATTAAAGACAGAACTCTGGTTATTTTTTTTGCCAACTACTGCAGATCATGTGTTGATTTTGGCATCAAACTTCGTGTTAATTGCACGTGTTTTAAATCTTGATTTTGTCTCACTATCATGTTTCGCCTTCAATTTGCTTTTGGTAACTGAATTCCTGCTCAGGCGCATTAATTTACGTACTCTTGTATAATCTATATAATGGATCTGTCCACAACTCTGTACTACTGGTACGAGCATTGTTTGCACTTATATGCTGTGGTCTTCATAAGCTATCCATGATTTGGAATTTAGAGTAACCTAAACATGGAAATAAGCATATGTTTGAGTGTGTAACAGGTGTCCTTGAAAGAAATAAAAGACCGAAGTTCACTTTGTAAGTTAGGAACATATATGTTTGAGATGATATCATTTCTGATCCTTCGTGAGGTTATTTGTGTCATCTGCTGATTGCTTTCCTAGTCATACTTTTGTTGGTTCCAATGAGTTGGCAAGGTTAGCGAATGAGTGGGTTGTTGTCCTCAGTAGTTCTGCTTTCTTGTTGAACCTATTTGCATTGTTAGGAATGTAGTGTAGCTTTTCTGTTGCATCCTAGTTTTTCTTTTCCCCAGTATGTGCAAGATGTTTAGGTAGTAGGCCGTTTCAAAAGTGTAAAGACTTCTTGCATGGTTTTGAATATGCAATGACATCTACAAAATTCTTTTGAAGTAGGTAGGTGTTCTTATTCATCTTGGATGGTGGTAGAATACTATGTGCAAATAAAGTACTCCTTGGTCATTTTTTTTCCTTTGTTTCTCTCCCCCTTTTGTATCTTTACCAGCTTCTGTTGATATGGCAGAAATACAACTGTGAGAAAGCACTTAGGTTGCATAAGCAAGTTGAAGATCTTATTCGGATTGATAATAAGTCTCGATTTGTTTCGTTGGTTAGAAGGGTGTTGGAAAAGAAGAATTTTGTGACTAACGAAAGTGTACTTGACTCAAAGGATGTGCTGATGTGGATATGTTCCCACCAAGCATTAGCTTGTGCCACGGCATTGCTGGAAGGAAAGACTGGACTATCTGTGGATCTTAATGTGACGCTCAAATGTGGGTTTTACCCATTGCACTATGCAGCTGAAAATTTATGTTGCGGCCTTACAGATGTTTTTCTGAAGCATGGAGCTTTAACTTCCCTTCCTTGCAGCGTTCATGGGTCAAGATATAGTGGAAAGCTCCCCTAAGTGTGGCACTTGAGGCAATAGGCTGTCATCCATTCCTGCGTGATTGGAGTCCCAATAAATCGATCTTCAAGCTAATTTATATTTTTTGCCTGCCGGAAATGGTGCTTCCGTCTTTCCCTTCTTTCTTTAAACCTTTTCACCTGTCACAATTGTATGTCGTTAAACTAGTATAGGAATGCTGTTCACCTTTTTGATCGGTTATCCCTTTTGACAGGCAGAGCCATTGGAGACCTTAAAACTGCTGGCCTTGCATACTGAAGAGTTGCAGGTGATAAGTTCCTCAAATGTTCATGAGGGGAGACTTGTTGAGCTAGTTGCTCTATTGTTGGTTGCTAGGGAAAAATTACTTGCTCCGGCTATTGATAACAGTGTTGATGGATCCTTTATTGGGCAGTGCATCCTAAAAGAATTAGCTTTATTACTTGATCAAGAGGTTAAGTTAATGGGTACTGCCCATAATGAGGAGTTGAACAGGTGCAGGCAAATGAAAGATGCAATAGGTTCTATGGGATTGATGCTTAATGTTTTTGATAAGGCTGGCGGTCCCATTGATAGATTTCGCTACTTCATTGCACTTGGGGTATGCATTTCCAGCACTTTATTTTGGTACCACTACTTTTTCTTATTCATCTTGAACTTAAGTAAGCTTTCTTTCTCTTTCAGAATGATATACCACCACACATCGTTGTACGAAATGTGATTTGTTTGCTCAGATTTGGGGTTTGCTTTGAAGACGGAGGACATTGATGTGTCTGATATAAGTTGGCAAGCATTATATAGGTAGTTTTATATGCTTCTTCGTTTTCATGATTCTATGAAAAATTCTTGTTCTTTTTAGTGCCATCACCTAGCTTGTGTTTGGTAAGATTACCATTTTTATTTTTTTTCACAGTATTTACCCCTGAAGTTTTACCCAATTGGCCTCCATTGAGAAAATAATTGCGCCTATGTAAGTTTTGGGACTTTTTCTGGAAAGTTTTAAATGACAAAAGTAGTAAGATCTGAAATTTGGGGAAAATTAAAATGTTGCCATGGGCCCAAAAGCCATCACCCTCGAGGGGGCCACTTGTGGCTGATCCCGAACAAGGATCCTAGATTCATTAATCCGTTGTCCGTAGTCCGTATCAATAAAGCCGCCCAAGGTGCCGTTTTAGGATTCTTAGTTAGGGTAGTTTTCATAGTTTTGATTAGTATTTTTAGTTATTTTTATTTAGTTTTCCTATTATTAGCTATAATTGTCGACAAAGGAGTACATGAAGGAAGAAGGAAGGAAAAATAGTGCAGGATCTGTTTCTAAAAGTGATCCGCATGCAGATCAGGTCCAGCTGCAGATTGGGGGCTGAGACTCCCCTTTTGGATCTGCTATGCAGATCTGCAACACACTAAAGAAATTCTAAGGTGGCTGCTATTCTGATTTTATTCGTTTTTGCCGATTTCAAGTGTATTTTCTTTCCTTTTCAATTTATAATACTTAAGGCCCATAAATAAGTGTTCCTAGGATTTATTTGGACAGCTTTTGACATTATTATTAAAATTTTAATACTTCTGCATTGGATTTTTTTCCTTTTCTTGAGTGTTTACAAGGTTGGATTCTTGTTGAATCTAGATGGGATTCTTGTTGAATCTTGGTTTTCCTTTTGGGGTACTATCATGTATCAACTCCTGATTTGTTTTTTGGATTAGTTCGTGAAACTATTCCTATTAAATTTTTTCTGCTACCACATCAAGGGCGTGAAAAACCAAAGCTTCCACCACGATCTTGCAATACAACATCCTCCCTACTCCATGCAGTTGGTATTTAGGCTAGAACCTTTTCTGAGGTGAGCCTAGGTTGTCCTCCATTGTCTGTTAGAGGCTCTTAATGTAATTTATTTTATAATTTGAGGGATCTAGCAGAAATATTGCCTAAACGCAAGGGTGTGAATTGTGAAATGTAATAAAGTATTGATGCAATACTAGCTATCACTGACCTTCACCCTATTTGTTCTTGAATTGATACTGGCAATGTGGCGGAACAAGCATGGTGACCAGATTGAACCTCCAGGAATCAGGTAAATGGTCAACATCTACATGTTTTTTGGTCACTTATTAGTGATTGTGAAAGATAAACTGGAAATTAAATTAAACAAAAGGATGTGAAGAAAGAGTTCAATTGGGCAAAAGGATCATTGCTAAATTGTTTCCTTTTCCCCCTGTAACAGCAAGACTCAGTATGGCTCTTGACAATATACTGCAGCCCAAGTCAAGCTGGTCTGACTTCAATCAGGTAACATTCTCCAATTGACTGGTGTCAACTGGATGATAGGTTGGAATCGCATAAATAACTAATATCTCCTTTTCTTCTGTTAATAGTGACCATTTGGATTAAAAACTGAAATTCTAGTAAATTGACTTAAAAGATACATTCTTTTTCTCAACCTTTTGCATGTTCCATGTTTTCAAGAATGAAACTATCCCAAAAATTCTGGCCTATATATATCAAAAGAGACATCAAACAAGGTTGTGAAAGCATTTTTAATCTTTGCATGAGAGGAGCTTTAACATGCTATAACCCCAGACTAAGGTATAAGGCTATTTATACATTACATTGTGCTACAACAAAGATTTCTTTACTACATTTCTTATTGAACGCTTTTATGCTCAGAACATTGTTAGATTAATTAAGGTACTCTTAAATCACATGATCGTCAAAAGCGATGGTGATCTAGTTTTGAAATTGCTTTTATGTTATTAGACTTTATTGCGTAGTTGCCACAACCCGGATTGCCCAGATGTGTACTTTAGTTAAGTATCTCAATGCACTCTGATACAGCCCGAGGTTGATCTTTATGCTATGACACACCGCATAAGTCATTTGGGTAAAATACAATGCAATTGTCTGTGGACTAATATTCAGACGCAGGCAGTATCAACATTGCTGTTGTTTTACTGAAGCAACTAGGTACTTGTTTGAGTCCCTATCAGGCTATCTTTGGAAGTTCATTATGTTTGGTTAGTACAAGAACAATGGGGGATCAATTTACCTACCTCTTGTAGGCTTGGTTTGCTTTCTGTGTACCATTTGTGTCTATGGCTTTTGATGTCGGGCTATTAGTTGCTGCTCATGCTTTGGTGCTTTCCTGTCACAATTTCCTATTATTTGTGTGATCCAACCTTGAAGTGCACTGACAAAGCATCTTGGTTTTCATGTAGAACTCCGTAAATGGTGATGGGGGACAGCGGCAGATTCAAATGAATTCCCCGTTCCCTGCTGGAATCTCGGTTTCTTCGTTGAAATCATTCCATACATGTCTAAGATTCATGCCCAGGTCTGCGCCTGTGCCAGCGCCACCAAGGGGAACTCAGAAAATAATCAGAGGCATGCAACCTGGGTCCAGGCTTTGTTGGGCTACTCATTGGGCCTTTCGTGCCCTTACTATCAAGAGAAGGATTTGATGATACCTACCTATCTACCTAGTTTGACTGTGGAACACTAACACCTCATTGAGTATTACCCATTGTTGAAGTGTCGATTAACATCATTAGAAATGTTTCTTGGGTTGTGAACCATCTTTGAGTTGGACTGGAATTGAATTTCCAACAGACAACTACTGCTAGTACTACTTCGGCACAGATCCAAATGGGAAAATTTAGCGTAGGGGTGTTGTCTTTTTAGTGCTTTAATTGTTACTAGTATTTTCTATTTGAATCACTCATCTTGCTGAACTTTTGCCATATATATCATGAAATCTAATTATATTTTCCCTAAACTGACTGAAACGGATTTTGTTCTTTGTAGAATAATGCTTGAAGGTGGTGACGAAGGATATACTGCTACAATTTTGGGTTTGAGCAGAAGATATTTGTATGACAGAAAAAAAATGAAACAGGCACGATATTATTCTGATTAGGTTTTACTGTGTCCTGATTGGTAGCTTTTCTGTATTTGATTCAAGGCTTATTTTAACATTATTTCGAGAAATTCGCCGTATTTTAGAATATCTCAAAAATAAAAAGTATGACAAAAATTTTGGAACAGAGGGAGTACTATAATGTGATTCCATATAATGTGATTCCATTTTTCAGATGCGTGTAAACAAGTCAATTTTTATAATCATGAAACCTTCTCTCGCCCTTCTTTATTAAAGAATTCAGATCCCATGCATCATAATAAGGTTATCAACTAGACAACAACGCATGAGAGTCTAATATACATGCATGCTTAAAACCTTCTCAAAAAAAAAAAAAAAAAGAAAAGATTGCATGGAAGAAGGGCAGAGAAGATCTATAATATGAACCTAGGCTTAGGCCTAATTTTGAGTGGTGAAACCGTAGATTCGTGAGAATGTACTAAAGACTATGATGCGGACACCACATTGTGTGAGTTCAAATGATTTTCCTCCGGAGCAATGTGAAGTCTAAGATTAGACAGTTATGGTTTGTAGACAATACCTTGGTTACATACATTGATGTCTTGTTCTAACCACAAGTATTTTGCTATGGCAAGACCTATCCTCAAGAAAAGCAAGGGTCTAAGAATTAAATACTGAAAACTTGTCTTTGCATTATTGCTATTCACTTGTGGCTTGAAGAAAGAAGGCCACAGTTGATGTCAGTAATTAAACAAGCTTCCCTACTTGTCTCTTGAAATGTAGGCTGCGGAGTATTCTTTTTCTTGCTTATACCCGTAACATTGTGAGTTGAACTTATTTTAGGCTCTTATACGACAAGGTTTTTATGTTTGCAGAAGGTGTACCATTTAATCTGTGCCCGAGTTCTAAAGTTGTATTTATTTTGTGAATCGAGTTTGAACTTGTTAAAATTCAATTCATAAAAGTCGATTGACAGCTCTAATTAAAATAAAAGAAAGGTACAAAAAGAAATAGCATCTTATTGTTTTGTGATTCCTTCTCCCCCGTTCCGCTCTTTAAATCTCACCCTAGAGAAGAGAAGAGAAAATAAAATAAAATAAAACTTTGTTTCGTGCTAGGTAAATTCCGCAAATGTAGTGGTGGTTTCGTACATAGGGTTGGGAGATGGCTGTTAGGGGAAAAGCCACCACAACTCATTTTCAAAATAATGTATCTTTCACTAATCATCTAATCCTAACCTTTATCTTTCACAATCAAGACTAATCATCTTTCCTGCCAACACTTTGGTGGTCGCCAAACCTTTTGCATTTACCTGCAAAGAAACAAAACAAAAGGTGATTATTACTCAGTATGATTATTGATTAATTGACAATCGACACATACGACTTTAATCCAAATCTCTTCCACAGTTCCACAGCGACTCCAAAATAATGCAATAGTAAATGCATATTGGCAGTATTCCTAAAGTTCTAGAGCACTATCAGTGGGCTGAAAGAAACTTATCGTTTCGACCAAAAAAAAAAAAACTATCTGTGGACTGGAATGAAGTCGATTTCTGCAGCTATATACTGCATAGTATTAATGGTGTTAACATCACAATAATTGAACGCCTAAGTTTCCACTCATATGTAATTATCTATCCACGCTAAGACTATTTGTATTTTTCTTCTTGACAAGCAATTATAATTAGCTGATATTAATTACATTTCTCATCCTATAAATGCAATTTTCTTTTTTTTTTCTTTCTCCTTTACCCAATAAATTTTGATTGACAAAGAGTTTTCTGTGGAAAACGGAACTTTAATCCTAATTGGAGATTGTGATTTGTGATGCACGCATAGCTCTTAGATCACGCGACCTTTTTTGGCATAATATCGAGAGGGTATGATGATAATCACTACAGCCAAACAACATTAATGAGGGCACATGATATTAGTATTCGGGAAAAAAAAATAAAACTTGCAGCTAGCCATAAAAGCATATAATTATCAGTCTCCCAAGATTTATGTGTGAAATTTTTTATGTAGATTTTACGAGTTTGTCTAACTGGTGTTCAATTAGTACTTGATAAAGGTGTAAAGTGTGTTAATATTTTTGGTAAATTACAGTTAAATCAAGTGTTTAAAATCAATTTGAGAGAATCAATATGAATAATTAAGCTTTTGTTTAACGGAGAGGTGTTTAATAGGGGGACTAACTATCTGCATCTGATATTAAAAAAAAAAAAAAAAAAAACCCTTTTCCAATGAGTGTTACACTGGTTGATACACATATCATTTCATTATTTCTCCCCTTTTTCAGTCAGTAAAAAAAGTTTAGGGGTAAAGCTCACCTCATTCTAAGGTCAGAACATATCACTAATACGTTAGATGGTTTTACAATGGTTCTGAGAAGTAGCCTACTAATTAAAAACACTTTAGTTGGTAGTTAGACTGAAATTTCAGTATCCCAACATAAAGACTAACTTCTTATCAATCTGTTGATTATTATTTTATGATTTCATCAACACTAAACACAGCCATAATTACATCTATTGCACATTTAGACAACACGTTCGATCTATTTTGGTTTATAAACTAACGTTTAGGTAAATAAGAACCTCTAGTAAACTTCAATTTTTTTTTTTCATAAAACTAACGCTTAAACCACGAGTTAAAGCTCTGGCTAGACAAACCATTATTATTTTCTGCTAAACATGTGCTTCACTTGGATGTTAATCCCATCAACATAGAAATTCAACCTTTCAGTCACTTCTCGAAATTCTGTAACTGTCCTTGCTTTCTATATATATCTAGTAGGATACCATTACACGCCTCCTTTTGTTGGAGCCCACTGGATTTATTCAATGGGTGTATTTGGATTGGTATTATTTTACAAATTTATTTGTCTATTTCACAAACACATTTTTAATAATTTTTTTTTATTTTTTAAATCACATAATTTTTATTTCACATATATTATATCATAAAAAGCGTTACAATCATTCTTTTAAATAATATTTCAAATAATCTCTTATAATAATTATTTCAAATAATATGTTTTAAATTTTCTTACTGTCAAACAAGAAAAATACTAATTGGAGATGACAGTGAAAGACGTCCAGTAAGAAATCTGTCCCTCAGTGATTTATCCTTTATCTTTTTGAAAGGGATTTATGAGTTGAACTCTTTGCCGTGCACGGGTCCTATCAAAGCATGTGTTGGGGGGGACCCAATTCAGGAATTGAACGTTATCAACTTGTACATGTAACTAAGGGATACTGAACCAAATAATTTGACTTAAAGGTTGAAAGCTATTCAATCAATAGTTCGACTTGAGTTCACTTTGATCGAGTTTAAGTTACTCGTTTGACCTCACGAGTCGAGATTAATCCCTAAATTCTTATACTCGAAAGCTCGACGAATTTAATCAAATTTTTTAATTTTTATATTTATTATTATAAAATGTCAATAATATCCTTTATTTAAAATTACGTATAAAATATTAATTTTGTTGGGAAAATCGCCAATTTAGTTCTCAAACTATTTTACTAAAGCCGATTTGGTCCTTCAACATTTTATCGCATGAATTAAGTTCCTTAACTAAAATACTTGTGCCAATTGAGGACCTTTATGGTGTCGCCACCCAAAACACATGTTTCTGTACAGAAACCAACGGCGACGCAGGGGCTTTTTTGGAAGTACACAGTAGGATTACTGCGGGAAGCAAGACAGCAACTATTTTGCATCCAAATTAGGGGAAACCTTTAAGTAGTGAGAAAATAGAGGATTCAGGTGAAGAGAAATGCTGCGGGTGGTGGTGATTGCTTGCGGAGCCATGGGGTTTGACCGTGTTCACTGCGACATTGGAGGTGATTGCTTGCGGAGCCTTGGCCACTTCAGATATCAGATGCTGCTGCTCCTTATATTTTAAGTTCGGATTGGTCGCACTGTGGTCTGCAATACCTTTACTGCTGCTAATTTTGTTCTCAGCCCCTTGGACTGCAAATTTATTGTTCGTTGTGTAATCAGAATTTGGCTTCTGAATGGGTGCCTGCTAGAGTATACCAAGCAGTATTAGACTAGTCCTAGGATTTGTTATTCAAAGATATGGAAATAGCTTTACTAATGATCGTTCACCTCAATCTAAAGCATCAAGAGAGACAATATAGACTAGCCTTAATCCACACAACATTGGAGATACAATGCTGTCCAATTTGGGTATTGTAGACAAGAGAGACTAATGTGAATGAAATCATTAATATATCCCACATTATTTTTTTCATGTATCACTAAACTCAAGCAACAGTGGTATAAAGAAAAACAGTAATAAGTAGGCTTCACTAACAAAATAGAAGCAATTAAACAAAAAAAAAATGTTTGATGCCACCAAATAGTGCTCTGAGCATGCATACCTGGGTGATGATACTGTTAGAGGCCTTGCTACCAGGCAAAAACATATTTTCAGCAACCACAATTGTGTCAATCTCACTCGAGGGATTTCTCCTGTAGGGAGAATGTTCTGCCTTCTTGGAATTGCTTCAACTGAGTGACATCGGTTGTTGCTGGTTCTGATTCTAGCTCTCATTCAAAACTTTAACATTCCCCCTTGCAGGAGAGTGAGCACGAGGAGAAGCAGCAGTCCTTGCACCCACAGCAGCATCACCACCACCCCCAGCATTTCTCTTCACTTGAATCCTCTATTTTCTCGTTACTTAAAGGTTTCCCCCAATTTGGATGTAAAATGATTTCTGTCTTGCTTCCCGCAGAAATCCTACTGTGTACTTCCAAAAAAGCCCTTGCGTTGCCGTTGGTTTCTGTACAGAAACATGTGTTTTGGGTGGTGACACCATAAAGGTCCTCAATTGGCACAAGAATTTTAGTTAAGGGACTTAATTCATGCAATAAAATGTTGAGAGACCAAATCGGCTTTAGTAAAGTAGTTTGAGGACTAAATTGACAATTTTCCCTAATTTTGTTAGATGAACTTGATTAATCTCGAATTAAATTCGATTGATTTTGATTAGACTCAATTAAATTTAATTAAATTCGAACTCAAATTCAAACTCGAATAAGATAAACTGAAATCATACTCGAGTTTGAACTCGACTTTTAAAAAAGCTCGACGAGTTCGATATTGAGCTCAAATTCAATTATTTTACCTCAAGTCACACTACACACGGTCCCCTCGACTCGAATGCACCTTAGATTTAACTAATTCTGAACTCTCAACCGTTCATGATGTAAAGATTCGCGAAGGGATAATGACACACATCAACAATCAAATAGGAGGCAATAGGCAACCAGTCAAAGGCTTATAGCAACAAGTCCTTGATAATACGCATCATCTGCGGCATGCCCTATTTTGCAAGCGGAACAAGCAATCAAGCATTTCTATCCAGCTAATTAATGCTCTGGCCATGATAAAGAAAATGGGAAAATCACTAAGCAAAACACCAATACAAAAAAGAGAGTCCCAATCCAATCACAAGTGTCACGAGGCTGCCTTGATTTGTACCATCTAAAAATGGTAATTCCATCCATTCTCTTCCAGAAGCTTGATTATTGATTGTTGTTGATATTTCAAAATTTCTCAGAAATCGTACAGGAACTTTTGGAAGAGTGGCATGTGATCGGCATCTAAGCACACAGCTAACGATAAAGTCCTGTCTTTGCCTGGACTTGGCAATACATATACCGTACCCTCATAAAGAATGATTGCCGGCCCTATATGAATAGGTCTGCCCCAGCCAAAGTCTGCATCATGAAACGGAAGCCTTGTCCAACTATTGATATTCAAATTAGGACTAGCAAAATGCCGAGGCCCTCTAACCAAAGCAGACAAATCAGGTTGAATTTCAAGATAATCCAGGGCTGATCTTAAGTAATCATTATCCATTCTTGCTAAGGCATTGTGGATTCTTTTTGCAGAATTGGTCAAGGGCTCTGATTGAAGATCACTGGATTCAGCAATTGGAGTTGCAGTGAAGACCACATTACCTAGATAGCCAGGAGGCAGGGGAGGAATCAGCCTAGACCGGCCATCAGTGGCAACGTACAGCTTGGTGGATTGATCATTGGTGAGGCCACGTGCTTTGCATGCAGTACGCCATATATGTGCTGCTAAGATCTCATAAGTGCTGCCCTCATTGTTGGCCTTAGCTTTAAGCTGGCTAAGTTGTTCAGGTGTGATTTTTAGTACAGCTGTGGTACTTGCCCTAGGGCCTGTTTTGAGTTCTTGAATTCTTGAATCTGATTTTAGTTGAGGGGGCGGATAATATTCGACATGTTCGAATACAGGCACGGGAGGGTCCCTAGCATGGATAAGTGTCCGGTCAATGAACGGAGGGACAGCAATGGTGAGGCCACGAGCTATGTCTGACCATGTATTGATGAAGTGCAGAGATGAAACGCCATCTGATAAATTGTGCTGCACCCCAGCTCCAAGAGCTGCTGCTCCACACTTGAAACGAGTTACCTATCAAATCAAACCCTAATATGTTACGAACAGACGCTATGTTACCAAAACAAAAAAAGAAAAAACAAACATTTCAAATCTATGATTCCTATTGAAGCACATGGATTCTAAGAGACTAGAGAAAGAGAAACTCATTGCATTGCATCGTTTTAGCGACGAAACTGAAAAATCTAATAAATGTCTAAACACTATTAACTTTGAGTCTAATTTGAACAGGTATAAAATTTAGCTCCTAACTCTCCTATCAACTTTTTCTGAGTGGGGACTATTTCAGTCCTCCGGTTGCAAAAATGATTAAACGATAGTGGTGAACACCAACCATGTTTCCCTTTTGAACCATATGGTTGAAACTGGTTCAGCACAAAGTTATGCCACCAAAAGCTAACAACACTAGAATACCAATCTGTCGCTATTCTGATCTTTTGCCCGTCATAAAGTATTGGATACTTTACTTGCTCCTGATGTTCAAGTAGATGATGCATAGGCTTACATTTCTCAATCCCTATTCATCCTTTACATGGTAGCCAAACTAAAACACCATCCACAAAAGTACTAGGAAAACAAACCATTTGTACCAAACTAAAAGTGTCGGACAATATCAATTAATTTTCTTGTCTTGTAAAACATGTTACTTCTCACTACCTTGTTATATACTTCTAAATTATTGAATTCTGACCGTGTTTTTTTTTTTAACTATAATAAAATTTAGATGGATTTGATTTCGATTACTATCACGGACCAAGTATGCTCTCGGGATCATAGGTCGCTTACAAACCTTTTTACCAATCACCCATTATCGTAATTCACACATTGCTAACAAATTTCGAACACGTGACATTTTACGAGAAAGTGACACGTCCTTGTGAATCGAGTGAACTTGTGTGGCCCTTTTTTCTAGATTTATGGTCTTTGGATCTATTTATTCCACGATTATTTTCTCCACCCGTACCGAACTCCGTACTAGGACCCCTCCAGAATTCTTTTATTTGTGGACGAAACGTGAGCAAATCGTCTAGACTGTTATATTGTACCTCATTCATGTCAGTGCCTCACGTGACTTTAAAGAATTCATTCATAGCCACCGGTAAAAGGGTAGTAAATGTTGGTCTGTCTAACTGTAAACTAGTAACTACCCGTCTACCGTATTGAATTTTTCAGACTTGGATTTAAATTTCAAGCCGGAAGTACTTAATGTGGGCTATATACACTTATTTACATCAATTATGATTTTTTTTTCTTTTTGTGGGGGGGGGGGGGGGTGCCCTAACTGCTCTTTGTATCACAAATTGAACACACAAACGCTAAAACTTGCACAAAATTAAAATATAGGATGTAGCATAGTTAATTAATCTTACGCTATTACAAGATCTTTTGTGTGACACAAGCTTGAGTGTGTTTGGATTGTAAGTTATTTGAAATATATTTTACTGTAACACTTTTTGTGATGTGATGTATGTGAGATAAAAAGGTAATTGGGAAGATAAAAAGGTGTATTGGAAATTGTAATGGTGATGTCAGCAAATATATTTGGCCAAATAATTGACTGTCCAAACACACTCAAGGTTTTCTAAGAAGAGATTATCCTGCAAAATCCAAATTGTTTTCAGGAAAAATGAACATTGCTAGAGACAAACGAGAAAAGATAAGTACGTATTTTTTTGGGATAACAAAGTATAAAGGACTTGAGGGTGTTTGGAAAGCCAGTTTTCATTAAAAAATTTCTATATTTTTCGTGAATATATTTTTCAATCGACTGTCTATATCAAATTGCTACAGTACACTTTGCAATTCAAACAACGAGGAAAAAGTAAAGTACTGCACATTTGAATATAATCTTTGCCCCATATAATACGGATCACAATTGACCTTTGTTTCCTCACGAATTTCCAACTAAACACAGGATGAGATATTATTATTATTTTCTAAGACATCCCATCTAACATAAACATTACTCATCTGTGTCAATCCAAAATGAACAGTCCTAAGAATAAGAAAAAAAAAATCCACTCTTTTCCGGTCCGTGAACGAAACGCACCTTGTATTGTTAATTTAACATATTGAACAAAGCATCACATGAAGAATACAAAATCAAACTAAAGAGTACAATCAAATGCAAAATTTGTAAGTTCAAGAATTTGATGAAATAAAAAATGAAATCAATAATGGCTAGACAAGGGGAGAAAAGTCAAGGGAGAAAACATGCCCCAATCAAATTTCGCTACACCTCTCCACAGCCAAAAGCAGCCCCTTAGTTGCCCACGTTTCTCTAGACTTTCCAAATAAGTTTTATGAGGTCCAGATTGATTGGATTAGAGACAAGTACTTTCAGACAACGTATCCATTCGGTTATTGTTCATTATTCATTTCATTGTGGAAAAATATATCCAAGCCTTTGACGGTCAAACCTTCAACAAGCACCGCCTCAGATGGAAAGGACTAAGGTAGCAAAAATAGTAGTAGTAGTAGTAGTAAAATTTGTTGTTCAAAAGAGGACTAAAAGGTTACCTGGAAAATAACGAGGGGGTAAGAAGAAATGTCACCAGAACAATCGACGGTCGGGATGAGCCTCCTGAGCTCCAAACTTGGTGCAAAATCACCAAAATCATCGACACTCGAGTCTGATTCAGCCTCAACAAAGAGTACACCTTCACCGTTACAGTCGATCTCAATCCTTCCTTCTTCATCTCTTGCTAATCTCCCAGCCATGGGGTAGAAAGAGACAAGAACATTGCTCAATGCTTCTTTGAGCACACGGGTATCAAAGAAATTAGCAGAACCATTAGGCTTGTAAAAGTAGATGGTCAAGATATGAATTCTTGCTACCAGAAGATCCAAATTCGAGTTCCATAGCCTCTTTGTGGGTGTTGGTTGGGCTGGACGAACCATTGCTGTTTCCTTCACGGTTATCTTCATTTTCTCGCTTCCCACGCTGATCAAACAAGATGAAATAAGCTGAGATTTAGCAGAAAATATGTAAAGAGTTTTGTTGATTGACGAAAGGGATTTGTCAGAAACGAGCTGGGATGGAGAAGAAAGGTGTGTAGACGGACAAATGGTCTAGATAAATAGAAGTGCAGGGCAGATGAGATAGAGGAATTGGAAGTCAATTGAAAATTTATGTGTTAGAGTTACAGATTTTTTTTGTCCTGACGTTTCAGAAGCAAATTGGAAAATGACTTTGTGCAATTTTGCTTGGCTATAAGTACCCGTACCTTTGTCCTTGGTGGAATGTGATGAGGAAGAGCGGCTATTGAAAGATGACCACAAAAGTGTCTTGTGAAAGAGGGAGGCTTCTCTTTTCCAGGCAACGACTGTAATTGCCGCTGGCTGTACATATTTATAGTACAGCTACGTTGAATTTTCTCTCTCTTCCTTTTTATTTTTTTGGATAAAATACAAAAAACTCCCTTGTGATTTCACGAAAAGACAAAATACAAAAAACTCCCTTGTGGTTTCACGAAAAGACACCTTACTCCCCTATCGTTTAGAAACATACACATAAACACCTTAAACTTCATTACTAAAGTGGAAATTGACCTTTAACCGGATGTGCTGGTCGAATATCAGGTAACAAGGCAGGCTGAAAACTGGACCTGTGAACATCTCCTAGGATCCAATTGAGGATCATTAAAGACCCTCGCTTCCTGCAGAACAGCACCCTTCTCGATCCCCATGAATGGAGAGTAATCCACTACAGATTAAAGAATCGAAATTACAACATCGGATTTCATTGACTGCTACACTCAGGCAAGGTTCAAACAAATTCCAAAGGCTAAAGCAGATCTGAGCCAAAGTTAACCGATCTCTTCGAAATTAATGTAGTGAAGAACTAACCCAGGGCTACAAATACAAATAGTTAATAAATCCGCAGGACCAGTATTTCAACTTCTGCTAATTCCTTTTTTTTTTGTCTTTTTGCTTTTTAAGTGGGCACAGGTTTTGGATAAAGTGTTTGATCCGTGTGTCTTCTGGTTTTTAAAAATTTACAACTTCCAGATGGAATTTCATTGACTAAATTTGCTTGCCATATATGGAAATTGAACTGGTTATGTATTTTAGCAATTTTTCACCAGAGGATCCATTCAATGACAGACATGGTAAAGCTAGAACTCAACTCTCCCGTTTCTGAACAATGAAAGGTATGTCTTCACTACTAAAGGTCGTCTCATGTTGCAGAGTGTTCTGAAGGATATTCAAACTCAGAATAAAAAATTTGGATGGAAAATCTTGCGATACCATATTCCCTCTTTCATCAATGTTGTTCCTACAGACCTGAAGCATTGGGTCTCTGTTTTAACAAGCCTCACTGCACTTTCTTCTCCTCAGATTCGAAGTCCGTAACAACTGCAATCTCTTATTTTCAATCTTCTCAAGCTTGGCAAACATTTCTTTTCGACATCTGCATTCACGTGATTATCAGCACCAATTTTCCTGACAAAGCTCGTTTCTTGTCAATCTGTATGGCAGATCTGATTCATAGCAAATTTGCTTTGGTGGTGTCGCATGCTGCTGATACCATTGCAAGACTGGAGAAAGGAGGAGTGTTGCGGATCTCTTCGCTTCTGCCTTCTCTCTCTTCTGTATGCTTATATCGGGTGGGAGAGTGAAGTCGAATCGCAGATATCTCTTTGGTCGACGTTGTACAAATTAGTTTCCCTGGACAGTAGCTTTTTTCTTTTTTGTGAAGGAATTGGACAGCCTGCCAAGGTATTTGACCTTCTGCCGGTAACTAAGCCGGTTCAAAAGGTAATTTCCATTTTAGTTATGAAGTTTATGGTGTTTATGTGTAGGTTTCTAAACGATAAGGGGGTGAGGTGTCTTTTCGCGAAACCACAAGGAGGTTCCTTGTATTTTACCCTTATTTTTTTCTTTCTTCTTTTTTTTTTTGTTTATTAGATGAATAAAAGGGTCAAATTCGAGCCATTAAATAAAATGGTTAGCCTAATAATCAGATTTCGAATGAAATTGCATTAATGTCCAATTTGAGCCATTAATATTTAAGAGTGGGTCTCATTCAAATGCAATTGAACTAAGTTAAGACGTCAATACATTTCTCAACCACCCTTTTATCACATATATATATATATATATATATATCGAATCGCTATAATATATTTTCTACAAAAAAAACTCCTAAAAATAGCAATTTAAACACGATAGAATACCAAATCAAATGTCCTACATTTTCTTTCAGTCTTGGCACTTACCTTGTCGCGTCTTTGCTCTTCAATTTTCACAAGTGTTCTTCAATCCTTTCTTTGCTATTCAAGAGTTCTGCTTCACTTTCACTTGGCCACTTCTAGTCTCGGCACGAAAATGTGTTGGCACTCTTGAGGATTGCATTAACGTAGAGAAAGATTTAAAAAAACACGTACAATTGAACATGTGTTGCAGAAATGGACCCGGCCACTCCTGTACTACATTGTTGTGGTGTGAAAAACACGATGGGCACTTTCACAGTGATAATTTCTCATCCAGCTATGTGAACTGTTTTCCATTTCTTCTTGCCAGCGAAATGACAAGGAAACACAGCTATTGTTGGCTGGCCGAAATGATAGTATCCGACTGCCGCACAGGGCTTATCTAACGTTTCACAAAGCTGAATGAGAAATTATCACTTGTGAAAGTGCCCATGTTTTTCACACCACAACAAATGTAGTAGCCAGGTCCACTTTTTCCTGGCTTTTTGCTAGCGAAATGACAAGGAAAACACATTGGCAAGGAAGATGGCCCGTCTGACAAGTAAGTTTTTTTTGGATGTTTATTTAAAATTTTACTGTAATTTATTGTAGAAATTGTAAAAAAAAATTTTGAAACGTGTAAATTTTTGAATATTTTAAAGTGTATAGTTTAAAAATTTTGAGAAATTTTTTGATATTACTATAAATAAAGTTATTAAAAAACTTATAGCAAATAAACTTGATCAAAAACTTGATTACCAAACAAGGTCGATGTTTTCCCCTTTCGTTGCATTTTTTCCTTCTGACGAAAGAAACAATTTATCCTTAATTAAATTACTTCTCTTCATTCTAACTTTGAATAAAGTTTTCCAATGGCAATCACAGGAAAGAATATACGTGGATGTCACATGGTACCTGTCCCGGCAAAAGCAAAAAGCCATTTTTATGATTTCATACCCTAAATTTTTATATATATATATTCTTTGTTGACTTGAAACACAAAGTATTTACTTCGTTCTTTATTGACTTGAAACATAAAGTATTTATTTCAATTTAATGGATCACCTTTCACGTTCAATAAATTAGTTTAAGGAAAGTGCTATTTGCAGTCCAACACCCATGAGGTTTCAGTTGATGCTACTCTGCCCACAGGGTTTCATTATGTTAACTAGATTTACCCGGGCATGGTCCCTTGTGATTATGCACAATCAACTTCTCTTCTGGCCCAATTCATTAAGAAATTCATTGGCGGAGACATTTAAAAGATGGATAATGCCACATCCTCAAATAAAGGTTAAAAAAAAAAAAAGATGTGTATTGGTTATTTAAAATGTTGAATTGAATTGACTTTGGAACATTTATGGGTTCCAAGGGCGTCTCGATTTGAAAATTATTCCAAAAATTCATTTTTGTTATTTACTATAATCTTTTCTGTAACGTGATATGTATGAAATAAAAAAATTTATAGAAAAAATAAAAAAAATAATTAGAAATTGTGTTTAGAAAATATTAAAATTCTTTTTCCAAATAACGAAGAAGTTAAACACGCCCACATGTTTTAGTTTGGAGGATAATGTGTTGAGGGAATGCTACAATATTTTTTTTCCAAATAATTAAGAATTCAAACACTCCAACGGAGTTTTAATTTGGATAATGACTTCGTATCATATTCTCTAGTAATACGTTCATTGGATATCAATAAAGAATTTTAAGATGGTTACTGGCATAAATATGGAAAGGGGATTTATCTTGCTAGGCCTTGGGCTGCTGGGTCCTTTACAAGCTGTTTACACATTGGAAGCTGCATTTGTAGAAATTCATATATTCACAAGAATGCAAAATCAGGTTTAAACTTTAAGCCTGTTGAAGCTTCAAAGCAGCCAACCACATGGCTTTTGTTATGGTGTTGCATTGCCAGCCACGGGGCCGCAGGATATACACGTACAATCAGGTGCAATAGATATTTGTCGCTTTTTGAAACTTTAATAATAGGAACATATCATATCATCTCATAATTCATTTGGCCAAAAGGAAAAGAAAAAGCAGGCATGAGTTTTCGCTGTTGGGATAAAGCCATTCGTTTTAAATTCAAATATCGAGAAGTGTGTGATCAAACATTCTGTGTTATTGCGCTACAACTGTAGATACCAATCATATCAGCGAATGATTCAGATACCATGAAATTGTTGCCTAACAAAAAAGGAAAAGGAACCACAAAGTATAGCATATTGTTGTAACATGAATTAGGTCACTAAAATGGATCAAACAAGGAGGCATGAGAAGCACTAGAAGGTTTTTTTTTTCCCACGAAATTTCTTTATCCTTATGAAAATTGATAAACACAACAAAGTAGCATTACTTGATAAACTAATTCAGCACTTAAATTTAAGAGGTAATTTCAGAAACCTTCCCTGAGATTTTTATAATTTCACTTGGCTCTCTTAAAGTTTCAAAAATTATACCTACCTTCCTTACCCATTTAAAATGACAATAATATTAACTTTAATATTTTAATAAAACTCTCTTGTTGCCATGTTTATACTGAGGATGAATTTTATAATTTTTTTTCGTTTTGCCTTCTTATTCATTTCTCTAATATTTCATTACAAGTATAGAAGAATTATCAATATTGTCGCCAATATCTATCTAGATCAAACGTTAAATTAGTAATTTTTGTTTATGACTTTCATATCATCCAATTTTTTTGTAGCTCTTTTTTTGTATCAAAATCAACAATAATTAAAAACAAATGGCCCACAATCACTACCAAACTATGGTTGTTCCATCACTAAACTAGTCCATAAACTTTTATTAAAAAAATAGTCCATGAACTTAAAAAACACAAGGTAGCATTTTTTTCTCTATCTCAAAAGAATCTATATTCCCAATAAAGCACTATAAAAAATAGCTTATCATAACAAAAGATTTATTGTTATAGTTGACTATTAAATAATAAATATTGGTATGAAAAACTTGAATCTCCTTTTTTATTTTTATAATTGCGTCAAATTATTTACAATTGTTTAGAAGAATGAATTGAACATTATAAGATAAGGGTATTTTACAGTATTCATTAATTTTTTGACCTTATTTTAAGGTTTGATTATCAAAGTGTCAAATCAAGGGAGGTAAGTGTAATTTTAAAAATTTCAAAAGAACTAAGTGAAATAGTCAGAAACGTCAGGGAAGGTTTCTAAAATTATTGTTAAATTTAATGGATTCAGATCTTAACATGTTCAGATGCCTTTGATAATTAAAACTAAAATATATTAATTAAGTGAGGCAGAATTTTTTATACAAAACTTGCTTTAATAAATAAATGATGGGCTATCCACTAATCACTTAATGCGATATGCATTCAAATGTATCAAATTTTAATGTGATATACACTCATATATATCAAATTTAGTACTTACAATTTAATAATTTAATGGATTTAAATTTTAAATTTTAAAACATTATGAAAAGGATCCCACTCATTTTTCCCCCTTTTTTTTCACTCTTTTGAAGTCATAATTTGTCATCATTTTTTTTCCATAAAGATATCTCACAATATACTCTCGCGTTGTTATTTAGCAATAGCATTATGGTAATTGACAGTTACGCGAGGTCGTACCCAATCATTACACTCCAGCGCATCATACTAAATCAAATTATTTTTCTTCCTTCATAGTTTGTGGTCCGATTGATGGCTGTGTAGAAACCGTGCACTAAGGATGAATAATTGTATTATCCTACAACTAGCATTAACTATTCAAGGATTAAGGGCGGATTAGTTTGAAGTTGTAAATTTGATGGAGGAATATGTGGCCTATATAATATACAAATAACACTACTGTATAAAACAGCACTTGAACTTAATTAATAATTCATAACAAGGATTAATTATGTTTTAATCGCCAAACTGTTACCCAAAAAATGATGAAAATGGATGACAAGGACTAGGAGTTATCTATGTAGCACTGCATACCCAAAAGATAACTTCTTTCTTGACTAAAATAAGCTTAAGTACAGAAGATTAGTGCAAAAATAGGTGTTAGATGGTGAATCTGTGAGTGGCTTATTGGGCAAAAAAAAACTTTACCTCTCTATGATATAGCTATTTTTTTACGTAACTCTCTTATAGTTTTAAAAACTATATATAATCTATCATAGTTTGTATTCTAGTGTCAAAATGACGAAAATAATCATTCATAATGGAACATATACAAATATCGAAATTACCATTGTTTAAAATTTAAAATGGTTGAAGTGATCAAAATATATAAGCATAACATGCATATAACCCAATATGATTTTATATTTTTTATCATATAACCCCCTTATAGTTTAGTGATTTACCATATGACTATCTTATGATTTTTAAAACATATACATAAACCCCCATGATTAATAAATAATTTTCAACTTTATACGGGGGCATTTTTGACATTTTAGTTGACTC